TACTGTCACTGGGATTTGAACTCTAGACCTGCCACTTGGGGGTTGACAACCTATCCACTTCACTAGGTCACCACACCTCCTAGCACTGCTTAATTTATTACAAGATGTTTATAGCAAGGTCTAGTAAAAAAAGAAAAAAAAAATTTACTATTACTTTAGAGAAGAAGGTTAAAATTATAAAAAAGAAAGATAAAAATATGAAACTAAGTTATCAAAATTTAGTAAAACTATATTATGTTGATAGATCTACAATAAGCAATATTTTATGAGAGAAAAACAAATATTTTCAGCTATATAATACTACATCTTTCTATATACAATATGTTCATTTACAAAAGAGACAGTTTCATATTATTGATAAGGCTGTATATAAGTTGTTTTTAGAACTTCATTCTTAAAATGTTTCTGTTTTACAGAATATGCTTAAGATAAAAGTACTCTTAATATATAATCAATTAAAAAATAGTAGCATGAAATTTTTTAACTACATTTGAGACATTTAATGATTAAGTATATAGATTCTAACAACAATTTGATATTAGTTCAAAAACTATATCTGGAGAAAGTGCATCAGCTAATCAAGCTGCAATTGATAATGAATGATATTATTTTCAAGAATTACTTAAGAATTATCATTCTGATAATATCCTTAATGCAGATAAAATAGGTCTTTTTTTTTGTCTTGGACCAGATAAGACACTTGTATCTAAAAGTGATTTTGTTAAAGAATTTAAAAAGGACAAGTTACATCTTATTATACTTCTTTGCTATAATGTATTAAGGTCACAAAAATTTAAACCATTTGTAATTAGTAAAAGTGCATATCTATAGTATATGAAATATACCAATATGTTCAAACTTTTTGTATATTATTCTAATAATGCAAAAGCATGAATTATAAAAAAAAAATAAAAAAATTAGTTAAAATAGTTAGATTATCAAGTTAATCAGCTAATAATTCTTTTAGTTAATAATTGTCATGTATATTCAAGTTCCAAGTTGTAAAATATTAAATTAGAATTTTTGCCATCTAATACTATATTAGTTATTCAACTCTGTAATGCTAGCATTATTAAAAATTTTAAGATTAATTATTATAAATTACTAGTAATAAAATAGTTAGATGAAATAGATAATGAAAAATCTATTAAGCCAATTAATATTAAAGAATCTTTTTATTTGATTTCTAATGCATGAAAACAAGTATCATCTACAATAATTATACATTGTTAAAATAAACAAAAATACTTTCATTAGGATAAACTTAGCTGCTAATACAAATAATAATAATAATATAGATAAGCTTGAGCAATTATTAGAAAAATTAGAGATATTATATAATTGTACCAAATTATCAACAGAAGAATATGTAAATATGAATAAGAAAGTATAAACAATAGATGCACTAATTGAAGAGTTTGTTATTAGAGAAATTTTTAAAAAGCAAGGCTTAATTGATAATAAAAATTTGGATAATAAAAATAAGAAAGAAGAAAAAGTTATAAATAACTTGATCTCAAATAATAAAGGAAAAAAAGCATTAGAAGTCATAAAAAAATATCTTGAACAATCACAATTTGCTACTAAAAATAATATTTATTTGTTGTAACAAATTATTAAAAATGCAAAAAGTTTTTATCAATTTAATCTTAAACAAATGATTATTAAAAAATATTTTACAAATTAATAGCATAACATTGTTTTTTTTTTTGTACTAAAGTCAATTATATAAATAAATATAGTTATAATAAGTATGTGCCAAAAAATAATAGTTTGAAGCAAAGAGTTTATTAACTAAAATAGTCAATATGATATTTATTAAAATTTTCTTTTTTAAAAAATTACACATTCTATACTTACTTTATAATAAGTATAAATTATTGTTTAAGACATTTAGGAATTTATTTTTATTATTTAAATAATATTTTTTATATAGATTTATTTTATTAAAACACTTTTCAAATATATATTGTATAGTTACCTAGCTAAAAAACATTGTAAAAGGCAAAATATAACCTAGCTGTAGGTATATTAAAAACATAATCATAATCTGAGCCAAAATCCTAAACTGAAGCTAAGCTATCAGATCCTGCATGTGAAAGTAGTATTTAATAAAATGCTATATTTTGTTTGGCTTAAGGTGAAGCTTATTGAATAATAGCTTTGTGTCATAGTTATATAAATAAATCATTATAGCTTGTAGATTCCTTTTAATACTCAATTTAGTAATATTAAATAAAAGCTCATATGTACTTTTTCTAATATAAAAAGTCTTATCATTTGTTAAAATAAAAGTGGTAATAGTATTAATAAAAAAAAAAAAATTATCATTATTCTAAGTGATAAATTAAAGTCCAAAATTGTTAGTGCTATTCTGTACAATATATTTGAAACAACCCTTACTTTGCCAAATTGAACTGTCTTTATAATCATTTTGGATATTATTGTCACTATGTTTTAGTTAATTGGTGTTGACTAATCTTTCCTTTAACAGCATTATTATTTTTAATAAAATAAGATTTGTATTATTCAGAATGGTATATTTTGATTGGCTATATATCATATAACTATATATATTAAATTTGAATTATACTCTAGTTATATCTCTATCTTAAATATATCTTTAAAAATACTTTAGAAAAAAGAGATAGTATAACCTAAATATAACTGTATATTATATTAAACTATTTAAATTAAGAGTTTGAAGAGTTGTTAGTCCTAAGTAAAAAAAGATACAGTAGAATAAGATATTACAAGAATGAGCACTAAGATTTTAGTAAACTTTACAAAAATAAAAATAATATAATATAGTAGTTAAATAAATATTAATATAATTACAAGTATTAGAAAAATATAATATATTACATAAAACTAAATCAGCTATATATAGAATATAGAAGATTTTAGTAAGTTTTCTGTTAAAAATTAAGCAATTTAAAGAGTTAAAATATATTAATACTTTGAATAAGTATAGTCTTGAAGAAATTATCATAATACAAATTAAAATTATATATACAAAGAGTTTAAATAGACAAGATTTATAGTTAGCTTACAAATATAATATTTAGAATAGAACCTGTATAGTAATATATAAGTAGATTATTTAAATTAGATATCAAAAGAATATATATAACTAGTTGTAATTTCTTATATATAAATATCTCTAAAAGCATTTATGTTTAATAAAAACTTGAATAAAAACTTTATTTTTTAAAAATAAGAACTTTAACTTAAAAAAAAAAATAATATAATAAATAGAATGTAATAACTTAAAATATATATATCATGAGGATGGTGATTCTAGTGTAGTGGTTGGGTTGTTATCCTCCAAGTGGCAGGTCTAAGGTTCAAATCTCACCTATGACGAAATTTGGAAATTAACCTGTGTTATAGCAAACTGTCTCTTGACAATCGGTTGGATTTGTGTATCTGTAACCTTAAGTCATACCATCTTGAATAGGAGCTCAGGGCATCTATGCAAAGTGTAACATTACATATACATAGAAAAATGTTAATAACCAGTGTCATATAAGACTTCAGTGCAAACCCATGATAAGACCACCAGGTGCAGTAAACTAAGGAACTGAAGAGTTGGAAGCCTCTTAAAAATTCCTAAGTAAAGAGGTAGCATGAACTTTCGACAGTACGGTCAGACCGATGGAAGCCTATAAAACACCTCCAAAGGGATAGGTGGATAAACCAGATGTCAAGATGTGTAGAGGAGCACATGACCAACAAGGTCGCCGAAATCATTGAAGGAAAACAATACATAAGTATACTATACCAGGTTATCTAGATTGGAAATTAGGGGAGTTCTGTCAGTCCTGAGTAGCGGTTAGTAAGGGATGATGAAGAAGATGTTGCAATAATAGGTACTGGGGTTCTAGTAAACTTTACAAGAATAGAAATAGTATAATGTAGCAATTAAACAGGTAACCTCTGTGACTGCAAGTGTTAGGTAACTATAACGTGTTGCATAAAACTAGATCAGCTATGTGTAGGACACGAAAAGTTCTAGTAAGTTTTCTGTTAAGAATAAACTAGTCCTAAGAGTACTTGAAGGCATTAGGTACTTTGGATGAGTGTAGTCTTGAAGATGTCCCTGTGAGACATAGTGGACTACATATGCAGAGGGTTTAAATAGGCAAAACCCATAGTTGGCTTGCAGGTATGGCACCTAGTATAGAACCTGTATATAGTAATATATAGGCAGACTACTTAAATTAGACACCAAAAGTACATGTGTGGCTAGTTGTAACCTCCAATGTAAGGGAGCTCCTGAAGGCACTTGAGTTCAAATACATGAATAAAAACATCAACTCCCACAGACAGGGACTTTAACTCAAAAAAAAATATATATATATATCATAAAAATAGATTTTTAAAAAAGATTTATTTTGTTTTTATTAAAATAAATTAAAATTTTTTATAAAAAAAAATAAATCTAATTTATATATTTATGTTTCTTATAATTTTATTTATTTAAAAAAAATATTAAAAAATTTTCTTTTAAATAAAGATGAGTTAAACCAATTTTGTTTTCAAATTTGATTTTAGGTTTTATCTTTTTAAAATAATTTTATTCTTATATATAACTTAAAATAATTAGTGAAGATGAGGATGATGATCCTAGTGTAGTGGTTGGATTGTTATCCTCTAAGTGGCAGGTCTAAGATTCAAATCCCACCTATGATGAAATTTGAAAATTATATCTGTGTTACAAAAACTGTTTTCTGTTAATCAGTTGGCCTCATATGGCTGTAATTTAGATATACCAAGTCAGGGTCCTACCGACATTGAGAGCTCAGAGCATCTATGTGAAGTATAACATTACACGTACATAGAGGAATGTTAATAACTGATGTTGTATAAGACTTTGGTACAAACTTATGATAAGACCACCAGGCATAGAAGACTAAGAAACCAAGAAGACAAAATCTCACTTGAAAATTTCCGAGTAAAGAGGTAGACAAACTTTCAATGATACTGTTGGACTAATGGAAGTTTACAAAACACCTTCATAGAAACTGAAGATTAAAACCAGATGTCAAGATGTGTAGAGAAGCATATAATCAACCAGGCTGCCAAATTTACCAAAAGAAAAGGATACTAAGGTATACTATACCAGGTCATCTGAATTGGTAGTCTAGAATGAGACTGATGGTTCTGAGTTGTGGCTAGTAGGTGATGATGGAGAAGATATCAGAAAGATAGGTATCAGAGTTTGAGTGAACTTTACAAGAATAGAAATAGTGTAATATAGCAGTTTAAGGTTAGCTCTGACTGCAAGTGTTAAATAACTATAGCATGTTATATAAAACTAGGTTAGCTATGTGTGGGACATGGAAGGCTTTAGTAATAATGCTTCTGAGGATATACTGCATAAAATAAGGTATGGGGTCCTAAGGATACGGGTAAGCATCTAGACCTTCTTGACTGACTTATGTAGTGGAGATGATCTAATGATACAGTAAGGGATGCAGTACAGAGGGTTTAAATAGACAACAATTCTAGTTGGGTTGCAGGTATGGCAGCTAGTATAAAACCATTGGCGAACTACTTAATTAGACACCAAAAGTGTACATATGACTAGTTGTACTCTCTAATATAAGGTAACTCCTTTGAGGTTTTGGCCATGAGTCTTTATATCCTAACTATACTGAATAAAAAGCCCCAGCTCCAAAAGAAGCTAGTTTAATACAAAAAAAAATAAATAAAATAATTAGTAGGGTGTGATGACCTAGTGAAATAATTAGATTGTTAACCTCTCAAGTGGTAGATTGGGTGTTCAAATTCTATCGATAGTGAAAATTTGAATAATTACCTATATAATATTCATATTATAATAATTGTTACTAATAATTGAATTAGGATACCTGTAATGGCAGTTACACTAGCATAACTGGCAGGTTATAGGGCATCTGTGTAAGTATGGCATTATATAGAAAAATGTAAACTGACAAATCAAACAGTGCAAACATTAGATAAGTTCTTGTGACCATATAAATCTGTTAAAATTAAATAACAAGAAGTTTATTTAGGAAGACCTGAGTAGAGAGATAGTTGGATCTTTAATAATCTACTGTAAAGGCTAGACTGAAGAAATAAATACCAAGGTCATAATACCTGATCATAGTAACCAGATGACTAAGAATCTCCAAGTTGGAAGTTTCAAAAATACTACCAACTAGGCTACTAGAACGAACAGAGAAAAAGAATATCAGGCCAACCCAATATATCAATGAACTGGTTGTAGTCTTATATAGTCTATCTGAATTGGGAGTTTAGTAAAAAGACAGGTAAAAAGGTAAAGATATACTAAAGTATCAAGATTATGCTGTAAAATAGATGCTGGAATCTAAGTAAATTCTACAAGAGCATAATGGTTTAATAGTTAGTCCTAACTGCAAGTGTTGGTTCTGCCATAGTAATATCTAGGTCAGCTATAAAAATAAGTACAGAAGGTTCTAAGAGGTTTATCTTGAGGATATATTAGTTCTAAGGTTGAGATGATAATCTGAACATCTGAGTATAATCCAATAAATTAATACAGATTACAGATTCAGAAGGTTTAAAATAAAACATCCAAGCAGAGATGTTAGGTACAGC